ACTTGTTTTTGTTCACAGCTAATTTGTTGGTCAATAGAATTCCTGATCATAGATATGTCAATTACCTCCTGAACAGGTGTGCTGATCATCTAAGCTTTAAATATAGGTATCAGTTCTCCTAACTTACCACACAATTAATCACAAACAATTCTCCCCCCACAAAAAAACGTCCATCAAATCAGTGACACGATTGTCCCTGTGTGTCCATATCATGGCTAAATTGACCAATGGATGATCACCGCTACTTAGATAAATCAGTCAGGTGCAAATGCTGCCGATCTGATCATCCTATATAATTGACAAGTTTGACAACATAAGGGTCATATACAGTTTTTTTATGTCCCTTTTCTTCAGTAGTTACAATGTATCTTATCAACAGACATATTTATTCAAAATTTGTATTGTTGAAAAAGTAAATTGATATAGAACATTTGAAATCAAAATTAAGCCATGAGTTGGCAGAAATTCTCAAGCATGAACAAATAATAATTGTCCCTTACACTTGCACAAAGGAAGACAGACATAATCATTACTAATTTACAGGTCTTTTCTTTAATAATCATACCAGAAATTTTGCCCACAGTCCAGATAGTTTACTCTGAATTCAGCTATTTGACCTTTCAGAGTTCTCCAACCAAGACAAATTTAGGGCAATTTGTTATGTCTCAGTGTAATACACAAGTAGAAACTTACTTTTAACACTGTAAACACAGCTTTAACAGATAATCTATCAAAAAACAGATAACAGTCCAGGTCATCAACCTTTCGATGTCATTAACCAATAATTGTAGGCGGAGCATTTACCTGGACTAGGGTAATTAAGGTAGGTACAAGGAATAGTCAAAACTACACAGGTGTAAAAAGAGAACTTGAAACTATCAAATTCATAAATCATACAAACAAAATGAGAAAAACCTGAGGCAATAGAGAATGGCCACCTTAGTTGAAAGGTGTTTCTAAATGATTCAAAGCATAACACTGTCCGAAGGAATATCTAGCCATCCTTTACAGTATATCATCAATACCTAATACAACGATTGACATGGAGATGGCAAGTAAAACCTGACTAGTCATACCATGACAAGTCCACTTCTGACTTTCCTTTTTAACTTTCCAAATGTCACAATCCATTTAGTATTCAGTTGACTATAAATTGCACCCTATAAAAAAGATTTTAGTCAAACTAAGGAAGTGACGGAAATACGAGCTGTCCTTATCAAACCTTCATCAAGAAATATACAAAATGATATTTAAATTCTGATGTACCCCAGGGGTCTTCAGTCCAGCCTTGACTTCATGTGCAATTTAATGTTCAGGTACAGGTGTGCATTTCACATAAAAATGACATCATTCATTCCAGCTTATTCAACTTTTCTTCAGTATTGTGTCATTTTCACGATTTGAACATTGATGTTAAAAAGAACATTAATAAATCGTCTCCTGAATCGATGGAAAAAAAATGCAACAAAGAACACAACTAATAGTTATTAAACACTTTTTCTTCTTAATAACAAATTGCATAAAAAATGACAAAAGACATTTTCTAAAATCAAAAACCTATGCAAACAGTGAACTGTAAGATTGTTCTGACACATAAATCATGCAGGTGAACAGTAATCCATTCAGCATATGTGGACACTTATCAACAAATATCAGGCAGCCTATCAACAGGTATGTAGGATAAAGGTATTTGACAACTCTATGACATAACATATACAGTAATACCTGGGGCCGATTCCATTCAGGAGCGTGACACTGATGAGTCAGTGTGTATCAAGCTTGGTGTATTTTATCGTCACCCTAAACAGGCACACTTGTATATACCTCTCATCAATCACAACTCCCACAATACCTCCTCAAAATTTTAAGTCTTAATTCCTTACTGATGGTTTTCATTACAAAAGTCATTTAATAAAATTGGAGACCATTTTGAAGGTGACATGAGTCACAGGTGTAAATGCTATACAAATGCTTTAGTTTCAAGGTGATGTTTTACTCTACTTGTAACTTAGTAGGTCAATAGATACCAATCCTGTCCATTTTAGGCTGCATTTCTGTAACTATCTACCATTTAGTGACATGTAATCTGCCTGAACTATTTTTTATGAAATGAACACTTTCAGTTCACTACAGCATAATGATTTTTAAAGTACTGCATGACCTACTTAGAGACCTTGAATAAGTTGGAGATTTAACAATGATATTTCTTATTCAGAACCAGTGCAAACTTTAGTTTTTTCAAATTTTCATCTTATGTCTCACTTGTTACATTTTTTTTCCCTTTTCAACAATTGAATTATTATTTTTATAAAGTATAAACAAAAAAATTATTGTTAGTATGTTGTATGGGTGATGTCTGTGATTAGGAAATCCTCAGTGACCCTGATCTTAAGTGTGGTATTTGGCAACGAGTAAGGCTTTACCCTAGATATATCTAGATCCTACACAAATCTCCAAGGATGTAATCTTGTCTCTTCCATCATCATTATACAGTCATCACCTATGCTCTACCTTGCTATGACATCTTGGGTAGTTTTTACCCCTACTAAGCCCCAGTTTGTCCTTTACTGTGAGCAAATACCGTCTCTAGAATCACTACCAGCCCTGAATTACCAAAAAAAACCATATCTTTTTTAGTAGTTATCCTATTTCAGCACTTTTGGTGCAGAAGGTATTATGCAGAAATAGGACAGTTTCTGTATGTTTGTATAACATTGATTGTAAATGTGCTGTTTCATAATTTGCCAAAAAGTTAAAATACACTAAAACTACATCAAATTAAGTACATTTACAGTGTGTTAGCATTCTCTGACAAGTATTATCTTCCAAATTCTAAATGATATAGCAGTACTGATCCTGTACAGCCCTAACCAAGGGCTCCCTCCAACTGATCCTGTACAGCCCTAACCAAGGGCTCCCTACAACTGATCCTGTCCTGCCCTAACCCAGGCCCCTTCCAACTGATCCTGGCCAGCCCTGACCAGTCCTGACCCAGGCCCCCTCCAACTGATCCTGGCCAGCCCTGACCCAGGCCCCCTCCAACTGATCCTGGCCAGCCCTGACCCCGGCCCCCTCCAACTGATCCTGACCAGCCCTGACCCCGGCCCCCTCCAACTGATCCTGGCCAGCCCTGACCCCGGCCCCCTCCAACTGATTGATCCTGACCAGCCCTGACCCAGGTCCCCTTCAACTAAACCTGGCCAGCCCTGACCTAGGCCCCTTCCAGCTGAACCTGGCCAGCTCTAACAATCTCCAACTATCATTACTACTAGTCACACTTTAGGTACTACCCATGAAACTTAAATGTATTTTCAAATGAGGAACTTGATATATTGACCTAAAGCCAACTTCTACATCAATATTTTAAAACTGGTGATAATTTCTATTTTATCATATTGTATTCTTTGCTGAAATATCAATGCTTCATGATAATAATTATAATTTTTATATGAGAAAAACGAGATAGAAACTCCCTCAAGACAGATCACACTCGATGTGGTCCTCATTTCTAATTCATATCTAAGCCAGTGTTAATCTGTATAGATTATTGTACTGTTTGCAACCTGTTATAACTGACTGGATTGTGTCATACAAAGTACATATTTATTTATTTAGAGGGTGCTACATTTACTGTTCAGCTTTTTAGTGGAGGAGTTAAACACAATACTAGACATAGAAGTGCCTACACTACAACAACCAAACACGACAAAACATCAGTAAGTGCCCAACTGTATATGTGTGGACTGGTCAGTTTATCTGACCACTGCTCCCAGCATAAAGTGTCTGTTCCATGATCGATCAGTGCAACAGAGAGATTATTGATAAGACTGTCTGTGACCACTGGCTATGGTCAATGACCACTCTGAATCAATCTCCAAGGCTGACCACCAACCATGGTATCTTAGGCCACACAGCTGTCATTGGTCAAGTTACACCTCCTCTATTCAGCCAAGTAACAAAGCCCACATCTATTGTTGACATGGAAATACTTTCAATGCAATGTAAATCCATGAATCCCTCTGGGACTACTCACTCTATTCATAATCACTATTAACTACTAGAAAATTATAACTTAAAACAAGACTCTGAGCTGTTTCGGAGCTAGATTAGGAGTCCCTACAGAGAAGTTACTAGACCCTGGACGATACCAGAGAAGCTACTAGACTCGGCAAGTGGCCCTAGAAAAACAGCATTATAAATAGAATATTCACCACCAGCTAGACCCTCAACGATATGAGAGAAGCTGAAAATGTTAGCTAGACCCTCAACGATATGAGAGAAGCTGAAACAAATTGGGAATATTCTATTATTATGAATTGGGGGTAAAATTCCCCAAGAATTAAGAGCTCAACGATATGAGAGAAGCTGAAAATGTTAGCTAGACCCTCAACGATATGAGAGAAGCTGAAACAAATTGGGAATATTCTATTATTATGCATTGGGGTTAAAATTCCCCAAGAATTCAGTGCCAAAATGAACGCATGTTTAACAGAGTGATAACACCCAGGTAAAAACAAATATTAATAAGAAACTGATAAATGCAGAAGATCCTTAAGTTACTAAGAGTGAGTAGCCCATTATACATAAAAATATGGTTATCTTATAACTGTTGCACCTGAAACAAAAACAAAAAATACATGAGTATAAAATAAAACCAATGGTGTAGCCGGGGACGGTGGGTGGGAATGCACAAATTTCACAAACAAATGCCTCCACCAAAAACTCAAACTATATGCTGCGGGGCCTTCAGATCCCTAACAGGGCATCCTCCCCGAGAACGCTGATTGGTCAATTAATTAGCATCAACCAGAACTCATCAGCATACATAAATAAACAAAATTATAATGCCTGCAGGGCAAGGAAAATCACTAACACTAATACATAATGAAAATCTTAATTGAAAATTGCTATGTCAGCTAGCAAGGAGAACTTATTGTATATAAACTATAATTTAATAACAATATTAAATTATCATTTTATATACAACAAGAACGCACAAGAACAGTTAAATGTTTATTACACTTAAGAAAATAGACAAGCTACGGTTTGGCGTAACAGGGGCTACTCACTCTATTCATAATCACTATTAACTACTAGAAAATTATAACTTAAAACAAGACTCTGAGCTGTTTCGGAGCTAGATTAGGAGTCCCTACAGAGAAGTTACTAGACCCTGGACGATACCAGAGAAGCTACTAGACTCTGCAAGTGGCCCTAGAAAAACAGCATTATAAATAGAATATTCACCACCAGCTAGACCCTCAACGATATGAGAGAAGCTGAAAATGTTAGCTAGACCCTCAACGATATGAGAGAAGCTGAAACAAATTGGGAATATTCTATTATTATGAATTGGGGGTAAAATTCCCCAAGAATTAAGAGCCAAAAATGAACGTATGTTTTAACAGAGTGATAACACGCAGGTAAAACAGAGTGAGAGCCCCCAAGAGATAATAATAGATATTAAAATAAGCATAGTAAAATGCAACGCAAGGTTATAGGCCTAATTTAAACTCATAGTATGCTTAATAATACAAGTAGATTGAAATGACAAGAACTATAGACCTAGACCAACTCATGAGAAAATAAAGGCCAAGACAAGTAATAGTTAATCCCTAAAAAACCCATCCCCACCCTATTCAGGAGGACATAACCTGTTGAGCCCGACGGATAGTAGCAGGATTGATCCGTATATAGCGTATGAAACAGTCAGATGACCATCTACCTAAAGTTTGAATGACATGGTCTTCCACTCCAGCTGCTGCAGCAGAGGTACTAGCGCCAATACGGAAAGAATGGCCATTGAAAGATTTGTTATTTATACCAACCCTAGACAAAGTCTCCTTTAAATACGAAATAAATGTATGACGCATTAAGGGTGTAGATGAATGGATATGATCTAAAAATAAAGGAGAAGAAAGAGTGGCACCTGAGGATAGTCTTAGGTTTAAGTATTCTCTCATAGTGGACACAGGTGTAAAAACACTATTTTCAAAAATACTAATATTTACCCCTTTACCAAAAGGGTCTGTTTTGGATGAACGCAGCGTGAGATTGAAACACGATAAATCTGGTAGTACACTAATATCGCAAATACGAATAAAATTGGTATCCCACACAGCATTACATGTAAATTCACCACAGCGTAAAAAACCAAAGAAAGCGGTTTTATAAATACATAACAACATGAGATCAACAAATGGGTTAAACATACCCTGTTGAGCAATAGCGTTACACATATTAGCTAAGATTGCACAAGTAATAGGGAGACGTTTGACAGAAGTGTTAACTTGAGTCTTCTTAACAGCGCGCAAGATATAAGACAATCGTAGAGTGTTAGCGGTAGGGTCCCCCAACTTATTCTTAATGTAGTGAAATCTAATACCAGCTAGGTATAGTTTGATAGTGTCAAATTTAAGGTGCAAAGACTTCTGGCAGTGTGTCACGAAACGAATAAGCACATCCTCATCCACTGCAGGCAACGTGTTGGCAGGAAAACTTGTGCCCTGCATAAGGATGAAAGTTAATAAACAGTTAAGTCCCGACTGGTACGAAGCTCTTGTACGTTGGCTTAAAGCAGAGTCCCACAATGAGTCCACGTGCAGGCTTAAGTCATCATAATTGACACCATTGGGAGGCAAGGAACAGGATGAAGGTCTGCCTGAGGAGCCAGTTTCCGAAACCTTGACATCTGTGAACGGGAGATAGCGTCAGCAATATTATTATCAGATCCAGGTATATGCCGAGCATGCACAATAAAATTGTTCATAGCTGAATGAAAAGTTAAAGTTCTAACTAGTCTCATAATGCTCTTAACCTTAGACCTTCCTTTAGTAATAATGTCGACAGTTGCCATATTGTCACAATGAAACAAAACACGCTTTTTGCACCACTGATGGCCCCATAACACACACGCCATAACGATGGGGTATAATTCGAACAAGGCCATTGAAGGTTCAGAACGCTGGAGTTCAGCAGGGAAAACACCTTGGAACCACTGATTTTTATAAATACCACCAAAAGCTACATTAGTAGCATCTGTAAACAGGTGGAGGTCAGCTGCACTAGTCACATGATCATCAAGGAAAAAAGAAGCACCATTCCAGTTCTCAAAAACAAGGCCCACATGTTTAGGTCCGAACGACATTCCGCATTTAATTTAACATGAAAATGAAGTTCGCGCGCAGAAGTCGAAAGTGAAATGAGGTGCGAGACAAACGATCTTCCTGGTTTAACACAACGTGTGGCGAAATTCATGTGTCCTAATAAGCTTAGTAGCTCGCGTTTCGTGCAACATTTCCTATTAGCAAAAGACTCTAGCACACATATGATACGAGATACTTTCTCAGCTGGAAGTCTACATTCCATACGAGTAGAGTCCAAAAACACCCCCAAGTATTCTAAACAGGTAACTGGACCCACTGTTTTGTGTGCTCCAATAGGAATATTGAGATCTTGAAACACTTTAAGGAAGCTGGACATTGTTCTAGTAGCGATAGCGGATGCCGGCTCAATAACGAGGAAATCATCCAGAAGGTGCAGGATGTGCTGAATGTTATATTTGTTCTGAGCTATCCAGCAGATGGCACGGGAGAGATTGTCGAAAAGTTTAGGACTTGAGCGACTCCCGAAAACCAGCCTAGTGAAAAAGTAATATTTTCCATCCCAACATATACCGTGATAGGGCCACAGTTCTGGCTTAATTGGGAGTAATTTAAAAGCGTCCGTGATGTCGGTTTTCATAAGCCAGGCATTCTGATGTAATTCCTTGATAACCCTAATAGCGTCGTCAATAGAAGTGTATTTAAGAGAGCAAGTTATCTTATCTATTAAACTGTTTAGGCTAGGATTGTTCACATCTTGATGGGGTGCCGACATGTCAACTATGAGGCGTTTTTTCTTTGAATATTTGTGCTCCGCAAGGCCAATAGGGTTGATTCGGTAGTTTTTGTATGGGATATGATCAAAAGGACCCAGGAGGTATCCTCTGACTACTTCCTTGTTGACTAAATCTGTCACGCTTTCATGATCCGCCAGAGCTGATTTCAGATTGGAACACTCAAACGAGTTTAATGGTAGGAACTGGAAACCGGTGTCAAAACCAAAAGTTAAGCCATCTAATAAAAAGTTCACAAAATTTTCATCTGGGTGGCCGTCTAAAGCTGTTTTTAAAGCTGTTAAGTTAATAGGTGTAGAAGCTCTCGGGTGGAATAACATATTCATTTTTTCTTGTTCAAAGTCCTGGTGAGCTCTAAAGGGCAGGCAGATTTGGAGTGGCTGCCTTTGCAGGACAAACAGACATGTTTGTAAGAACAGGAAGATGAGTTGCATCCAAAATTACTATTAAAGTTATTGCATAATTCTATACCATCTTGGTACATGCGAGGGCGCCCATGACTGTCAACAGAAGGGGGACCGGTAGGACGGGAAGTAGATCCCTGCTTTGAACTCCTAAAATTTCCACTATGGGTCCCTTGACGTTTGGGTTCTACCACAGAAGTAGGACAGAAACCTGTTCCATGCAAAGGACTGTCGCACAAGTCACAGGTGAGTGGTCGTTGGTTTGTGAAAATGTTACAAAATAAAACATTGTTCCTAACTGACCAATCTATGGGTGTGTTGTTGTAGCGGAGCTGTGCTGCGGCTCTAGCTGAAAATTGTCTGTGGTACTCATAGAAACCGACATTGTACCTGGTACCCATGTCTACTATATCTCTTTCGTATAGATCGAGTTCAACACGTCTAGCAGGATAGACAGAGCACATCACCTGCTTATACACTCCGAATGCCAAGATGAATTCATTCAACGACAAGGTGCGTGAAAGTCTACAATCGGGTTTTGAAGAAGAATGGCACTCAGGGTCAGAGCTACCTACGTAATACGGGATAAGCAAGGCGGCCAGGTTAACATCTCTACCCGTAATGATTTGTTGACGCAGCGCGGGAGATACAGTTTCTACCAATGGTAAAGATTCCGACACATAGCCAAAACGTGATCGTTTGGAAGAATTCTCACCTTGAGATAGTGTGCTGTCCTCCTGAAAACGCTTGTAAGCTGTTTCTAAAGTGTACTCAGCCTGTAGTGGTGTTGGAACCAGCTGCACTGATGGCGAGTTTATCACTGCTGGAACTGGTCGAGACGAGTCAACTACGGGCTGATTTTCACTACCGGCGGCTGCCGCCACTGGACGTCGTGTTTGCGATTCCAACCTGCTCTCTAGACGTTGGTAGCAGTTCTGCAGCGTAGCAACACTTTCTGTCAAGTTTGTAACAATGTCAATTAGGTGCTGATTGACATCGTTAGGTCTGGAGCTCTCCCGTTCACGTGAATTTACGTGGGGGCCGCCATCTTGTCGCGAGGTATCATGGGATACCGCACCTTCCCGATGAGGCACGACGGGGTTAGCCGCTCTCACTTCCGTAACAGGGACGCTGGCTGTCCTGGCTTCGCGCAGCATCCTCACCAAACTTCTGCGTTTGCATCCAGTGCGGAACGGAACGTTTAGGGCGCGCAGTTCCTCTTGTAGCCTGGCGATCGTCCAGTTATCTAGAAGCTCGGGATCGTAGGGCGCAGATCGAATGTTCTTGCGTTTGGGTCCCATAACTAGTCGGAGTTGACACACACAAAATAAAAACGTAAACACAATCAATAGCCGTAAGCTAAGGTTTATAACGTCAAGAACACCAAATCTCGTTGTCGAGCGTGAATGCGGAAATACGTCACACCACAAGAACTTGTGGAAGAGGTCCTTTTTAACTAGTCCTACGTGAAAACACACACGTATCCAAAATGGCGAATGCGAGAACCCAGTCTCTCAGCACTCCTCGAAGGATTAAATGTCAAAAGAAAAGTTACAAAGTAAACTCCGTCACTATTAGGTTGACTAATCACATCCTTAAGCCACTTTATAAAGGTATATCCATAAGGGGAAGGTAGGAACGTATGCAAAGTGTTAATAAACGAAAGATAATGCACAAATTTCACAAACAAATGCCTCCACCAAAAACTCAAACTATATGCTGCGGGGCCTTCAGATCCCTAACAGGGCATCCTCCCCGAGAACGCTGATTGGTCAATTAATTAGCATCAACCAGAACTCATCAGCATACATAAATAAACAAAATTATAATGCCTGCAGGGCAAGGAAAATCACTAACACTAATACATAATGAAAATCTTAATTGAAAATTGCTATGTCAGCTAGCAAGGAGAACTTATTGTATATAAACTATAATTTAATAACAATATTAAATTATCATTTAATTCTTATACTGAAAGTTAAAACATTGTCTCTCGGGCTTTCCTTGACTTTGTGTGATTCTGTATAATTAACTCTTTCAAGGTCCTATAATCTATTCTGATATTCAATTTTGTGCTGAATTCCCTGATCTTCCATAGTTTCCATGCTAACAGATGACAAAACTTATCAATTTAGAAGTGCATCTAGCCACATATCTCCCTGGGGAGGATATTTCTGCTGATTTGTAGATCATTAATATGAAATCCGTAAAAGTTAATTCTCAAAAATAATGAAGTATACAAATGAGCTGTCTTATTCTGAAATAAAGAGCTTGTATTGACAAGCTAAGCTGAGTATTAGAAGTGTTGCGTGATTTGAAAAATATGTAGTTCTGTAGACATCTAATGCATCTTTCCTGTAGCTGACAGTTTGGGAAGATTGGCTGTGACATCCATGTTAATTTTCCCACTCTCCGGTATTATCTAATACTCTTGAGCTTCATGTAAGGGAAAGAAATTTTAAATGCCTTCAACACGCATCAAGTCAGACTTCGACTTTCGTTACGTTACAGGACAACCTATCTGTGGGAAGGCGTGACAAACAGTTTCTCATAATTAAGTGTTGACTTTCTATTACAGTTCTGTTATGAATTAACCAAGTTCTCTGTGATATCAAATTTGGGATTTTTTTGTCAATATAGGAAATGCAGTGTTTTAGACTAATTGTCATCATTCATCAATTTCAACATAATTCAACCCTTGATTATATTTGTTTATGGTACAATCTATTAAATGCTCTGTTATTAACATGAGAAATCCATTCTTTAATTATCATGATGAAGGTCTAATATCAAATTTGCACAATGGAATCATGGTTTCTGTGAAAGGGTGCAGTTTTATCAATATTTCAATGGGAAAAGGATGTCTATTTCACAGATATTATTTTAACTGGAACATAATTCATTTCCAGTGTATCAATATTTTCCTGAAAATTGTGAAAATTGGAATCCTGAAAATTGTGAAAATTGTGAAAATTGGAATCCCTTGAAAATAACTTTAACACTATCTAGATATCCTTTCTTACATGATATTTCAAGCATCGAGATATCCAGATATTTCTTCTAATTTGATATCTTGAATATTCCTCCTAATCTGAAACCTAAGGTATTCAGATATCCCTTCTAATCTGACACTTGCAATATCTAGATATCCATTTTGATTTTACGCCTGAAATATCCAGATCAACCTTCTTATCGGATGCCTGGAATTTCTAGATATAACTTCTAATCTGACATCAAAAATATCTAGATATCCCTTCTGATATGACAACTTGAGAATCCAGAGTTTTCCTGATACCTTTACTGATTTACACCCAGATATCCATTTTAATCAGACACCTGGAATAACCAGATATCCTTTCTCGTTTGACACCAGAAATATTCAGATATCCATTCTTATTTGACACCAGAAATATTCAGATATCCATTCTTGTTTGACACTTAAAATATTCAGATATACTGTTATATCCGACACCTTGAATTTCCAGATATCTCTTCTAATTTGACACCTTGAGTATACAGATGTTTCATTATGTTGTCACCCTAATATATTTCGCAGTAAATATATGGTCAGGTGTATTTTGAGAACAGCCCAGAATTCATTTTTTCAGATAAGTCTGTCTCGAACATACAACTATCAAAAATAATTTCCTAAGGATGACCACGTAATTAGTCACGGAATGATCTGTCCTGCTTATAAACACTAAGTAATCAATTGTTCCATCAGATCTAACTAATGTGTGATGCACGATTTAGCCGCAAACTAACAATATAAAAACGCGTTAATTTCCACTATCATTGTATATAAAGCCAGTAATAAAATATGAGACAGGATTACCATTATTTTATGAATTTTTATACTGTTATTTTCCGTTATTGTGATAGTAGTAAATATAAAAACATGTTCTGTATTAGTACCCTGCACTAACCAATACTGCAAGAGTTAGTTCCCCTGTCGGTCAGAGCTGTATTGCCTTACCCTTGAATGGCCATAGTGGTGGACGTAAAATCTTTTAGATGATGAATAACATGTATGCACATAACAAAATAGAGCCTGAGGTAGATGTCATTAAAGATATTGTGCTTCATATTTTCTTAGTCCTGAAAGCTTTGAAGCATATTTTCAGATTTTGACTTCATTTGAAACTCCTTTAACTCTGTTGTATGTAAAACCAATGTTGTCTTTGTTTCAGTGCCCCATGCTAATCTGTACATGCTTGTAAACCCAATACGTCTCAATCTTGACTACCTGACACTTTTGTGGGTGAATTTCTTCATGCTGAACCTTTCTCAGTCAGTGGTAAGTTCATGTCTTATGTTAATCCTGTTTATGATTATGTTAATCCTGTTGATGACTTATGTTAATTTGCTGATGATTTCTGTTAATCCTATTTATCATTCATGTTAATCCTTTTATGATTTATGTTAATCCTGTTTATGATTTATGTTAATCCTGTTGATGATTTCTGTTAATCCTATTTATCATTCATGTTAATCCTTTTATGATTTATGTTAATCCTGTTTATGATTATGTTAATCCTGTTGATGACTTATGTTAATTTGCTGATGATTTCTGTTAATCCTATTTATCATTCATGTTAATCCTTTTATGATTTATGTTAATCCTGTTTATGATTTTTGTTAATCCTATTGATGATTTATCTTAATCCTCTTTATTATTTTACGAAAATTTGATTTAGAGATAGGACGAACCTGGTCAAATAGGTGAAATGGGGCAAATTCTTTAAAATATTTTTATTTATGTAGGAATGCCTGTATTCTGTCCAAATTGGTTCTGAGGCATCCTTGGGTGAAGGGGATCAATTTTATATGAACAATAGTGGAAATAGAGCAAATTCTTAAAAATCGTTCTTTTGATGGAAGGATTTAATTTTGTCAAGATTTGATCTGAAGCATCCTTGGTTGAAGTGAACTTAGTTTTGTATAAATTATGCATCTAACCCCCTTGGGCAGAAGAACTTGACCTAATATTTAGTTTAAATCAATCATTCAGCAAACTAAACCAGGTGAATGATAAAGGCCCTATGGACCTGTTGTTTACATTAATCTGTTTATTATTTATAGTAATGTGTTGATGATCTATTTGTTATTGTTGTTGTGATTTTCAGACACCTGAGATGTTAGATGACACACCAAAACAACACATTGACATCAAGATTGAAGCTCTTATGCCAAGGGTAAGTACATTTGTACTGCAAAATGCTTACATAGGCCACAACCTCTGTCTATAGCTTTCTTTCCTTGCTGTGCCTGTAGACTTCTACCTGATGGCTTTCTAATCAAATTATGTTTTTACGAAAAGAAATTATCTCAACCTTTATTCAGGGTCTAAAGGATCAAATTTGTTGAAACCTGTAAAAGACTTCTTTTGGTAAACTAAAAATCAGAGAAGCAGAATATTTGGTTGAAATGTGTTTCTAGGTCAAAGCCCAACAAATTTCTAGAACAAAAGAATGACTTTACCTATAATCTAGGTGATAATTGCCACTGTTTAGAGCTGAGTAATTGAAGCTGTTTGTTATGGAAATTGGTTAAAATTGATTGGATGTGCCCACTTTAAATGCCAATGGTGTACATTTCAGTATATTTATGATATTAACACTGATCTATATTTGGTGAATATTGAATACCAGGTGAGCGATACAGACCAATGGGGCCACTTGTTAAGCTTTAGAGTCATTTAGGTAAGACAAATAATTCTGTGAAATTTTTGTGTCGTAGGTGATTGTGTCAGCAGAAAGGAAGGTGGAAAACCAGCCTGATCGGCCAGAGGGAGTCCAACTGCAAGTGTCCAAACTCTGTGTCACTAATACCCACGTGGAGGAACAGACAGGGCGGGCAGACTTGGCAGAGGTGTTACGCCACTATACAGAAGGGCATCTGTTTACTTCCTCACAATACCCAAACAACAATAACCCTCTTACAAGCCTTCCCCCTCACTTCAGTACCTTTGCTAGTGGACGAGACAATGCTTATATGCAACGCTATGCCAAAGAGTTAGTAGCTGGTCAATTACCACAGGGCATGGAATCACAGGTAGGGCCAGAGGTTATTGCCAAACTCCTGAAAACCAACACACTGAAGCGTAATGCTAGCTTTGATGTGTGGAGTGTGTGTGCAGATCAGGCTTGGCTGGAGTTCGTGGGAGTGCCAGTCTCTAAGTCTCGTCCGATACCTTTCGTTGAATCTGTACCAGTGACTCTCTGGTTCTGTATGCCGTTAGTGATGGATGAAGCAGAAACAAAACTTAAGCAAAATAATCAACTTGATGTTTTGGGAATCAGTGGAAATAGCAGAAGAGGGAGTAGCAATGCCGACTCCAATTCCCTGACCTTTGACACGGACCAAGGTAGCCCCGCATCACCACACAGAGATAGACCCTCACGAAGGCTACTCAAAGAATATTATTCAACAGACAGTGAGTCCTATGACACCAGTCCCGAGGAATTACCTTCCTCATGTGATAAAACAATGAAATCTTCAAAAAGTGAAGATAAAGGCCAGAGTTTACAGCTGGCCACTTACAACCTTGTGGCAAAGGTTGGTGGTCCAGTGAAGGCCCAAATGAGTCATTCCCAGTTTCTTTTTCTTATGAGACTTTTAGAATCTTTTACAGACTTCCAAACTCAACTGACAGCAGATATAGAATATTTTCTGGGGACATCTACTGTACCCACCACGTTTTCTGTGCCACTTGTAGTTCCAGACATTGAGTTTGTTATGGTGTGCCCCTATGTGGCTGAGTTGCTTCCCTTTACACACAACATACCAACTAGTCCTTCAGGGGCTAGTCTACGGGATGGAGATCTGATCGAGGAGGAAGGTTTAAAAGAAGAAATTTCTCCACAAATTGACATTGACATTGGCCATGTAACAGAAGGTATGTAAAAGTGTTTGAGCTGTAATTAGAGGGCAATTAATCTTTCTTGTACACGAGACAGGGAAATCTCACATGTCACTCAGTGCTTGATTTTTCTTATTAATCTGATCTGTCTGGTACCCTTACCCAATAATTTTTTTTTTCTTTTTCCTTTTGGTTTTAAGTGATGTCATTATCGAAATGATGCCAAATTCAATTGAATCTCTTCCGAAGAATTGTAAAGGGAGGTAATCTAATCAAATTGACAAATTAGAAAACAAACTAAATGAGAGGGTTTTTGATGCAATTTAGACAAAATTTTGTATGAGGAATAGAATTTGTTATTTGTATATGTTTGAGTCCTATTTGTCTCAATTTTAAGACGACGTTAACATAATATCTCACTGTTCACTCGGCCTCGATTTTGTTATAGAACATCAGCCTTTGACAGAGATAAGTCAAGCTGTAAGACATACAAGAAAGGGTTCTATTAGTGTTGCTGATGAATATTAAGTATGGGGGAGATATCTATGATAGTATAAATATATTATAGGTATTGTATTAAAATCTGTAAGACATTGAAAATTCATGCATACATCTGTAGCATAAACAAAATTTACGGGGACAATCTATGAATCTTCTAGGAAATGGATCAACCAGAATGATCGTGCTGTTATATTTATGGATTTAGGTCTGCAGAGTATATATGGAATTGGTCTTTAGTTTTTATCATCAGCATGTAACTTTTTAAATTTTGGTCAACTAGTAAAATCATACATGTGTTACCCTAGTTAAATTATATATGTGTCACCTTGGTAAAATTATGTATTTGTTACCTTGGTAAAATTATATATGTGTCACCTTGGTAAGATTATGTATTTGTCACCTTGGTAAAATTATATATGTGTCACCTTGGTAAAATTATGTATTTGTCACCCTGGTAAAATTATCTATGTGTTACCCTGGTTAAATCATATATGTGTTGTCCAGATAAAGTAATTTATTTGCCACTCTGATAGAATTATGTGTCACCCTGGTTAGATTATGTATTGTCCTGGCAAAATTTTATACGTGTTACCCTGGTAAAATTATATTTGTGTCACTCTGGTAGAATTATATATGGGTTGTCCAGATTAAGTTATATATGTGTCACCCTAGTAAAATGATGCATGTGTTACCCTGGTAAAATTGTATTTGAGTTAACCTGATGAAATATTAGTTACAAAATATCTTTTGTAATAGTAGGTTTCCTTCTACATGGTCTGTTGAAAGTAAGCTGAGTAAACAAGAGATCACGGGTTTAAATCCTAGCTTAGGCGTTGAAATTAATAATGACCTATGTTACTTATGGTTCAATATACATTGTTTAGCATCTAATTGAGTGTAACATAATGTAAAGTGCAAAAGGGTAATTTCATTGATATATCATGTGTTATATAAATGTTGTGTATGATCATTATTTATTATTGATATTTAAGATGAGGATAGCAGAATCAACGATAATAATGTGGATTCCGGGTCACAGTGTTCCTCCCACACAGCCATCTCGAAGTCCCTCAGTGATTCCAGGATCCAGTGCCACGCGGGAGGGTCAGGAGAGGAAGATCTCTCAAACCCTGGAATGTTTGTATCCGCGCCCATATCTCACTCCAGTCAAGGGCTCGCCAACCCACACCACGATTCTTCATCTGGCTATGACTCCAGTCTTGGATCTCGTGGGTCAGGCTCGCAGCAAATGAAGAAATCCGCAAACAAGGCAGCCGATCAAGTAAAGAAGTCATTTTCGTCTGCACTGTCTGGTATTACAGGTCTCACTGACAAAATTAAGGCAAAAATGGACTCCAACGAAGAAATGGAGGATATTGATTCCATGAGTATTAAAACTGACTTGTCTGATGATGACTTGGACTTTGAAATGTTAAATTTAGAGGAAGCTGAGATGCCTGCGTTTCATCACCCCAATATAGGAGTATCAGAGACAGGCTCATCCACTGATACAGATCTACTGGACGATGTGTCCAGTCTTTATGCTGAGAGTTCAGCCGCAACCAAAGGCAGAGAATTGGTAAGTGAAGGAATGAATCATGATCATGATCATCATCATCATCATCATCATCATCATCATCATCATCATCATCATCATCATCATCATCATCATCATCAATTAATTCTCTTGAAGTTGATAGCCAGGAAGTCCCAAAAATAAACGTACAGCTACAAAATATCATTACATTCCATCAGAAATCATGTTTATTTATCATATTGATGAACTGAAAATTAACTGAAAGCAATTTTTCAGGTTTCAGTGATCGCATTTCGTATCCATGGTTCTGAGATACTGATGCAAAATGATGGCAGCGATACGGCCATTCGTATCCAGGCACGTCACCTCAGCACCAACCAACCTGGTAACATGTATTACGAGGACTTCTACAACAAATTTACCTCACCACAAGGTCAGTACAATTATTAATCTCCGTCTCACCTGAACATCAGGTCAGTACAACTGTTTATCTCCCTAACACCAGGTCAGTACAACTGTTTATCTCCCTAACACCAGGTCAGTACAACTGTTTATCTCCCTTACACCAGGCCAGTACAACTGTTTATCTCCCTAACACCAGGTCAGTACAACTGTTTATCTCCCTAACACCAGGTCAGTACAACTGTTTATCTCCCTTACACCAGGCCAGTACAACTGTTTATCTCCCTAACACCAGGCCAGTACAACTGTTTCTCTCCCTAACACCAGGTCAGTACAACTGTTTCTCTCCCTAACACCAGGCCAGTACAACTGTTTCTCTCCCTAACACCAGGTCAGTACAACTGTTTATCTCCCAAACACCAGGTCAGTACAACTGTTTCTCTCCCTAACACCATGCCAGTACAACTGTTTATCTCCCTAACACTCTCACCTCCATCGTGCTTGGTCCATCATCATTGTCAGCCGTGCACTGTCCACCATCCACCATTCACCCCTCACTTTGACATTTCAAACTTCTTCTCAAGTTCCAACAGCGGGATTGAGCTCAAACTTGCATGAAATAATCCTGAGAAGGTCCTGACCAAGTGTTGTTATTTTTCTGGTATGTCTGAAATACAAGATGGCCATCATGGCCGCCATCTTGAAAAACATATTTTAAGGTTCTTCTCCAGTTATACTGCTGCCAATGAGCTAAGAATTGGTGCAAATGTTATGGAAAGGTAGCAATAAAGTGTTGTTATATTTAGATCTTGTCAAAACTTTGATATGACAGCCAGGGAGGCCTTTTTGTAATGTGATTGCACAATCATGGTTTTCCTGTACAGCACCTATTTCAAACTTCTCAAGTTTCACCAGTTCGATTGAGTTCAAACTTTACTGCCAAAAAATAGGTAACAATTGTTACAGTTACCTTCTCCTCACCAAAACTACCATCTGCATCATGGAAAACAGCTTCTTAGTAAGATTTCATTCAAAGTAGAAAAAATAACCCTTCTTCCTGCTGAAAGTCTTTTTAGTCAGGGCCTCTTGTTTCTTTTAGATGACTATTTTTGTTTATCATGGTCATTAAAAAAATGTCAGTTTATAATGTTTTCTTGTCATTTACAGGTATCTTTGGCCACAATGATACTGCTCCAGAAGATCTGAAATCCTTTGCTATCAAACTGAAGATTGTGTCTGGACCTGGAGCTGATGCCGAGTTGCCAATTTCATCAAAGACAGATTCACCGGGTTACTTGAGTGTCATGGCGGAGAAGTGTGGACTTGCCTTCAACACCTCGAGTCTAGCCAATATTGCTAAGTTTGTTGAGGATGAGTCCACTGGGCAGGCCCTGCCAATGCATGTGACAGTCAGTGACTTCCATTTGTCATTGAAGGTCAGGACCTGAAACTGTTTTTATGCTCCACATGCTCCTGCAATGTTACAGGGAGGGGAGGGGCATATTTGTCATCTCTTGAAAACCATTCCACAGATTAAGTTACATATTTACCCCATAGCATTGTGAAAATTAAGTTTTACATGTTATTGTATCAAGGGATCAAAGTTCAAGGGTCAAAGGTCACATTATGCTTGGGAATGGGGACATTTTTACAGACATTTTGTAGTGGAGAGTACAATCTTCTGGATGTGATGATGAATTGTTCAACTCACCTTTAATCCTTGGTCAGTTAAAAATTTTGTATTTAGATTCCCTTTCTTTCTATTTGTGATTGGGGTTTTTTTTTTTTGTTTTTTTTTTTGAGAATATCTTTATATTTCAAAACAAAATGTCATGTGTCAGCCTTCTAGGATTGCTGTTGCTTTTTCAGAGAAAGTACTTTTGGGATCTTAATAAAATTTCTGACTCATGTCCACAAATTTTTATACTGTACTGAAAATCTTGATGACTGACAGGTGTTTTAACCCATACCGATTGTTATTATTATTTCTTGAAAATGACCGAAGGGATTGCTGTCATGTTTTGTATAAAGGGTATTAAATTCTTTTAGTAGGGATACAAGTTTCATTTTTAAACCTGTAAAGCAGCATGGTTAATAGGCATTTGTCTTTGCTTTTCTGGGAAGTTATTTGTTGATGTTTTTAATTGTAACCTCCAGAGGTTCTTTCTGTTTAGTCCTGGAAATGAAGTTAGAACTTTGTGCATCATTGCTTAAGTGTTGTTTTATTTATTTATTTTTTCTAGGACGATGCTCCTAAGCCCAACGTACCACCAGCTCCCCCTGTAGAATGTATGGTCCATAAACTGGCCATATCTCGTGGCTACGATGGCATTTTCCATTTAACAGGTAAATTTTTTTGCTTTTTCTCTCTGTGTGATCTAAACATTGATGGGTCAAAAGTCAAGGTCAAAGTTTAATCTTTTTTAAGGTAAAGATTTTTTATGACATTATGAAGCAAAATTTGATAAAAATGAAAGTGCATGGTCAAAGGTCAAGGCTGACATCAATTTTCCTTCTATTTCTTAATTGGTAAATGATTTTACATGATAGGATGATTGAAATTTACATGAGTCTCACAACCATAGGTGAGGTTATGGGTCAAAGGTCAAGTCTTAAACCTTATCCTTTGTAGATATTTGTTGCTAATAACAAATATGTTCTTGGCTATCAGAGGAAAGACATATGTTTTAACTTAAAAAATCAAAGTTCTCCTATCAAATATGTACAAATGAATACCCAGTATAGTTTGTTAGGGAAACTTTGAAAAAAAAATTAGAAATAAAAAGGTTGTTTCAGTACATTCAATGATCACAGATTTTCATAAAACATATAAAAAAAGGGGGGAACCTCGTACACATTGATAGAACAGTTCATTTGACATAAACTGGTAGCAGTAGGTGGTGCCACTTGAGGGTCATTGACAACACCGTGACAACAAACTAGTTTCAAGAGGAAATTAGTGAATTTAATGTTATCATTTGGTATTTGCAAGAACATAGATATGATGTAACATATTATATCTGGATTTTCATTAAATTAATAAATACTTATAATGTTCTAGGTAAGCTCCATCTGCAGACTAATTCAACTGTAAATATTCTCATTTGTTTCACAAGATCTTGACATCCATAAATAAATGCAATACTACTTTGTACTGATTATATTCTGTACCTTAAATGTTTTTAAATAGAAGTAATAGAATTTTAATGTTTGTATAAAAGGTTTTGTTTGATAATAAATGCTTGGATTTGTAAATGTCATTGATGCAGTTTATGAGAGCAAATGATTCGGTGTTAAATAAATAATTCCTGTTTCAGCTGAGTCAGTCTTGTCAGATAGCTCCAAATTACCAGGACAAGAGAAGGTGGAGGAGAAGAAAGAAGAAATGTCGGAAGAGGAGAAACAAGAACCGCTTTCACATGAGGCCCTTCTCCTGGAGAATCAACAACTTAAGAAATCATTAGAGGAAATGTCAAGTCTTTTACAAAGTCAAAAACAATTAAATAGAAAAATCCAACACGATATGGAATGTATACAAAAAGAAAAAGAAAACTTACAAAGTAAACTTAACAAGACCATGTTACCAAACAACGGAACAAACGACAGCGAGATTCACGCCAACACAGTGATAACAGAGAACCTGAAACTCCAGCATAAGATGGTTTGTCAGGAGGATGAGATCCATACTCTAACCAAGGAGAAGAACTCTTTACTGGACACATTGAAACTTCTACAAGATGAACTGTTGGAGTCGGAATCACGACGACGACGAATTGATCATCATAGTTAGCATCAATATAGGTTAATGCTGATTGTGTTAGCTATGATCACAACCCAAGAATTAATTAGAGGAAGAATGTTGTTGACGGTTATATATGTGTGAGTGAGGTCATGGTAATTGTGATTAAATCAAGGGATAGTTGCCATGACAACCAATTATCAAATAAATGAGAGGAATTGTTTTAAATATGAAAGTAAGATGTAACAGTAATTACTGGTTTGGACAAATTATCTGGTTGTTAGTGATGTTTTTGTTATACAGAAATCTGTCTATTATATAGCCATGAATGCTTATTATTCATATTAATAAATCAGACCTTGTAAGATGAGTAATTTTTGCTTTTAAATCATATATAGGTAGCATTGTATTTACTCCAACTTAACTTGTTGTAACCATGGATACTCCAACTTAACTTGTTGTAACCATGGATACTCCAACTTAACTTGTTGTAACCATGGATACTCCAACTTAACTTGTTGTAACCATGGATACTCCAACTTAACTTGTTGTAACCATGGATACTCCAAGTTAACTTGTTGAAATCATAGATACTCCAACTTAATTTGTTGTTACCATGAATACTCCAACTTAACTTGTTGTAATCACGGATACTCCAATTTAACTTGTTGAAACCATGGACACTACTCCAACTTAATTTGTTGTAACCATGGATACATATCCAACTTTGTTGTAACCTTGGATATAAATCCGACTTTGTTGTTACTATGGATACAGCTACTTTGTTGTAACCATGGATACCTAGTGTAGCAAATGCTTTATGTATCAGTTCATTGTGCCACAAAAATTTGTTTAAACTATATTTATTGATAAGAAAGGCTTAATGTATGTGTGGACTAGAAATGCTTATATGGGCTAGAGTTTTATCTTGTTAATGCTTTGATTAGCAAGAATTTACTCAAACAACATGGATGCTAGTATGAAAGTAGTGTTGTGGTTGAAACTTAAATGCTTTAAAAGTTTTGTTGACAGTGTCATTAACAAAAACTGTTTTGACATTCTATGTTTTGATAATTGTATATTTATGATGTGTACTACATATATGTGAACATGACGCTGTGTTGTAGATCGTCATTTGTGATATCTGACATCATTTTTGTTATCCCAATTACAGACTAAGGTTGCATAATATTGAATGTGTCAGTCAGTGCTTATCATAGCTGATTAAAAAAGTTTTCTGTGTTAGATTTGTTTTCGAGTAATTTTATTAATGCTTGTCAATGTTAATTAAATGCTTTCTTTGTAAAATTTATTTTCTTGTAATAATAATTGTGCATGTCTTTGTCGATGTTGATTTAAAAACCCTCTCTGTGTTAAGTTTATTTTTCTGCCATGATAATTTTGCTTGTAGTTACCAATGAATTAATTAAGATTGACGTGGGCAAGGAATATGTGCCCAAAATAATTATAAAGTTAGTGCCATTCTTCGTGGTCTCTGTAGAATACAGTGGAGGCCTGAATTAAAATACATATTTTGTTGAACAGACCAAAACCCATGAAGAAAGACATTTTATCAAAAATTGTTTCTGTTTGAAAAACTTAACTAAAATGTAGATTATTTGCATCTGTGTATATATAGTGTTGCAAGCTAAATAATTAATTCTGAGCGTAAAAAGTAAATGTGAACATTTTTTTTGATTCCGTTTAGGAATATGGAATATAAAAGAGTATTTTAACTCTGACCTTGCATTAATTAGTATGTTTTATTGTTTTGTTTACCGTTATTAGAGTAAAACACTATATTATCTCATTGTTTTCTGTTTGTTTGTCTTTGAATAATCTATACTGTGATTATATAACCGGAAATTGTACACTGTATATGTATTTGATTTAGCACTTTGAGGGGGTTAGCTCAATCTTAATTCAAGCGAAGATAACGAAAATCCACTGTAAGTCTTGGCAGGATGTGTTACAGACCTATTCATAGACTGTCATGACTTTTTGCTTCTTAATTACAAGGACTGTTTACCAGTCTAATGTAGTTCCAAACTTAGTTTTATTTTCATAACAATGTGAAGATCAATCCAAATGATTTAAAAGCTTGTATGTGTTTGTATTCAGATGGCCTAGATTCAAACACTCCAGCGATCTACACCTGATCGTAACAGGGATGCATCACAAACATAAGCTCATAGGTATAAGGATTTACTTTGCCTAGCTGGGTTTGTTCTGTGATTAAATTTACAATGAAAGTTAATTAATAATTTTAGAAATTTTAGCGCTGCACTTGAATTAGCACAATGAACGCAAAAGGTGCTGATATTAGAATATTGCTAAAATAAGTACACATACAGTAGATTGTGGAGCATAAATGGATGAAAACCAGACATGATATCCAGACCGCAGTGGCTATGTGATAATATGTTTACAGGTACAGGAAATTCAACATTTTCACATCGACACAAAGGACAGTGAATATCTTGTCCAATATAATATACATGGAGACTTATTAACGTCCTCAAACAGGACAAATTCTGTGTATAACATTTATGATGAAAAAAGTCGATAAGAATTTATAATTATGTTAATTTCATGTAACAAGTTTTATTAATCATTTATGCATAATTTTACTTGTGATCAATAATTGTTGTAAGATGTCCAGGCTTTGATAATGTTTTGTTTATTTATTTTGTAATTTGTTGTTTATTTCATTATTAGCTTTGTTTTAAATATATATGTACGATACTACAACACACTGACTGCCAGATCTTTTGTCTTCTTTGGCTTCATCAGACAGACTGATGTTTTTAAGTCACCGCTAGTAAACAATAGGACTACAAGATTGATAATCTAACTTTCTGCTTTCTTGGGCTTTGTCAGACAGACCGTTGTTTATACATCGCCTCTAGTAAGCAACAGAAAACCAGGATCAATTGTCCGACCTTTCTGCCTTTTTTGGGCTTTGTCAGACAGACCGATGTTTGTAAATCACCCTTGGTAAACAACAGGAAAAAGGACTGACTGCCTTTCTTCATTCTTGATGCTAGTTTGTTACACCATAACTGATGTTGTCACAGGATTGTTGTATGTCACAACATCACAGTTGCTACTATGTAAAATATCTCAACATCAGAATAAAATTTATTGCTGTATTGTGTAAATGCATTATTTTAGAAACTTTTGCCATTTTGCCTAGATTTTTTCAACATATTTTTTCTGCATTAAACCCCTGCCTGATAATTCACAGCTATTGCGTGCCAAAACGTGTTGTTTCCCTATGTTGAAACAAGTCCATCTTTTTTTTTTTTGATTTTATGTTACCGTAAGTGTTACCCAAGGGACTATAAGTGCATATTATATGGAGTCGGGTTTAACAGGGAGACAATCTGAAGTGAAATCCCATATTTCTGGGTACTATGTATGATAATCCTTGTAGTAATTCCAGTAGTTATACTTACACGGAAATATTTCTATTCCCGATTTTTATTGTTTTATAATGTTTTATTTTTCCGTATTTACATAACTTTAATTTATAGCATTTTCCTTGAGCTATTTGTGCTTCAACAGCATGTTCAATTAAATGTCGGCTATTTTTGTTTGTCTTCAGCAATGCTTTGTAGCTTTATATCGGTCAGAGTCTGGCTTATCACTCATTTTAGTTCTGTAAAGTATTTCTGTTAGTCCCATTTTGTTTATCTAACTTAACAATGTCTGTAAACAAATATGCTATGTATTAAGTTGTAAAACGACTCTACAACTTATCTAGTGACACCTCACACCAATGTTTGACTTCCCTATTACTTTGTATCTGAATACCATATAGCTGGTAATTAAAGTTTACTTTTACAACAACCGAATAATATTTTAACGAATTACATTTCAAGATTTAGATGTTAAAGGATACCTAACACACTCTCGTTATTTTACTGAATAAATTCTCACAATAACATTAATGTACTGCAAAATAATAAAAAGTACTATCCCCAACGAAAATAACCAACTATATGGTATCAATGGAGTGAAGATGTACTGGTCACTTTTGCCCAGCTATCAATGGACAGTTCATGTACTGGTCACTTTTGCCTGGCTATCAATGGACAGTTCATGTACTGGTCACTTTGGCCAGACTATCAATGGACAGTTCATGTACTGGTCACTTTTGCCCAGCTATCAACGTACAGTTCATGTACTGGTCACTTTGGCCAGGCTATCAATGGACAGTTCATGTACTGGTCACTTTTGCCCAGCTATCAATGTACAGTTCATGTACTGGTCACTTTGGCCAGGCTATCAATGGACAGTTCATGTACTGGTCACTTTGGCCAGGCTATCAATGGACAGTTCATGTACTGGTCACTTTGGCCCAGCTATCAATGGACAGTTCATGTACTGGTCACTTTGGCCCAGCTATCAATGGACAGTTCATGTACTGGTCACTTTGGCCAGGCTGTCAATGGACTTCAGGTATAATGGTCACTCTGGTCAGGCTTTCTAGTGACTAGATGTAGCAGTCATTCCCCATCCATCCATCTCTTAGTCCATTCATCTGTTGGTTTATCGGTCTGTCCATCTGTTGGTTTATCGGTCTGTCCATCTGTCCATCTGTTGGTTTATCGGTCTGTCCATCTGTCCATCTTTTCACTTCATTTTAGTTTGATGATTTATTGTAATTTTTCATATTTGTAGATTTTGTCCTTTTTTTAATACTGTGTAGGTAGACCTTGTGACTTAATACTTTGTAGGTAGACCTTGTGACACAATACTGTGTAGATGACCTGTGTAGGTAGACCTTGTGACTTAATACTGTGTAGGTAGACCTTGTGGTTTAATACTTTGTAGGTAGACCTTGTGACTTAACACTGTGTAGGTAGACCTTGTGACTTAATACTTTGTAGGTAGACCTTGTGGTTTAATACTTTGTAGGTAGACCTTGTGACTTAATACTGTGTAGGTAGACCTTGTGGTTTAATGCTGTGTAGGTAGACCTTGTGACTTAATACTGTGTAGGTAGACCTTGTGGTTTAATGCATTGTAGGTAGACCTTGTGACTT